ACAAAAGAAGGAAGTTGACAGGTTTGTTCCTTGTAGAGGTATCTTAGGGCTCATTCAGAATAGACTATGGGTAGTGGCTAGATCAGAGCGAATCGGCTGAACTGTTAATGTCCAGAACATGAACGTTGCTCAACGGCAGAGGAGAGACAACCGGTGAGTGGGTCATACAACAAACGACTAGAGGGGCGATTTTTTATAGCTTAGAAGAGCATTAGATTCAGTCTCAGCGAAACAGGAATGTAGGGTCAACTGCGTGGCTAGAAATGTAGCAGAATCGACGTGGCAGGAGTAGTGCGAATGAATCTTTTTCAAAGATGGGATTTGATATTTCAGCGACCGTCGAGTTTCCTAATCTGTTGGATTGCTTGTCGATGTCTATAACAAGATGACAGCTTTGCGGGAACCTGCATGCGTAGTGACCACCGCTCTGTGAACAGGGATTATGAAGCACGCATCTCAAAAAGAGCAGTGTCAAAGCTCCGCGGAGAATGAAAATAGGTGAAACAATGTACGCTGGATTGCGGGTTGTCAACAAGCCTTAGGTTCGACGAAACATTTCAACCAAAGGGAATATAGTCGGATAGCCTCTGTCCAGGAGCATTATATGAAGACAACTGCGAAGCGTCAATCAGAACCTCAATGATGCCAACAACCATCTGTGTACGCTAGCAACTGCGTAGTATCTCGAAAGGGTTGTCGATTGTTCGTAGGCTGCATAGTACCACCGCGGAAGCGGGACATATAGCAAGGATTTGAGGCCACCTCCACATAATACTCGTCTAATGAAAGCCCACAAACTTCATTGCGGCTTGGAAGGGAATAGATACCGAAAAGAATGACGGGGCTGATTCCACAGGGATGTTGAATTGCCAGAATAGATACATGACGGTGCTGACTTCACTAGTTCTCAAGGGTCAGATAAAACACCCAAACTCGACTATTCAAGAAAAGGTCAATATTATTATGGCAAACAAGGCCTCTTCATCGGAATGTCTCAGTAAGGCCGATTTGCCGCCAGGGTTGGAGCAAAAGCTACACTGATGTATAATTTGCCTTCCACATTTGCTCCGTTCTCACCCAACGACCTTCTTTGATGATCACCAGAGTCGTAGCCATAACTTTGCGATTCAACCTAATCATACAAAATACCGGCACTGCGTCTGAGAACTTAAGGCTGGACGGATATACGGGGAAGGCCGGCAGGAAACTTCCGGCGGATTCTATGCCTGATTCAGATGGCGATAACTGATACAATCACTCTTAGTGAACAACCCTAGCTGCATGATCAATATAGCAAAGCGTATCTGGGTAAAATTACAGATGCGTCTCTGACGTGGTACGTGTTTAATGCAGAACACAGCGGTGCTGTGGACTTGGCCTAAGCTGAATCGATGTAGAGTGCTGTGTCGCCGATCAGAAGAGAGCGCATGATGACAAGACATTGACCAAGAGATACCATGCTGGTGCTGAAAAGACGAGCGCGTCGATTGTATGGTCTCTCTGAGCGACGAACCAATAAACTGATAGATTTATGTGCCAAGAAGCGAGCAAACTTTGATACGCCATGTTTAGAGGCAAGATTTCGCGGTGAGACGATCACTCATCGACCGGAAACGTTGGAGATTTGCTGATTTGGATTCTCTCTGGCCTTTGAACCCCTGCTGCACAACCGTGGTAACTTGGGCTGTCTACTCGATTTTTCCTAGTGTCACGGCCGTAAAATGACGAAAAGATTACAAGACTCGTGGGTCTCCCATTGCTGCATATCTCCGGATGAAGCAGTTATAGAGGCCAGTTAAGTGATGTGACGTGACGATGCTCCATCCTTGCGGGCATAGTGTTACTGCGTTTAGAGTCGTCCATTATTGTGTCTCACGCATAGGCTTGGAATCATGTCTATGTTACTGGCAAGACATGGTCACTATAGGCGAGGAATCTATGAGATATGTTGAGTATGTAGCAGTTTTCGAAAGAAGAAAAATATTGTCGGGGCAGTCTGCATTACGAAGCCTCAATTAGTTAGAGGGCGAAAAGAGAGGTACATGGATACCCGCATTCAGGATCCAACGGCTACCGGGAAGTGATGACGCGCAGCAAGTGATCGACTGTCGGTAAACCATGGTGATTCTCATCTAATAGACTCCACTGACATGACGGATCCGGGGAATTCGGGTCGATGTGCATAGTAGTATGCAACCTAGCGGCTTGCCTATAGCTAGACCAGGATTGTTGAGCACAACAATTAGAAGGCGGGTGACACTCAACGGGCCGCCTCTCACAGCAACCCCACGCTCTTCCTGAAATATCTTAATGCTTTTGACTGTCCCCCTGATAGCAGTAATATGGTACATCGCACTCCCGATACCAAAATCGATCTGTCAGTCTGGTAGTGGCTGCGTGTTACAGCTGCATCTAAACTCGCTCTTCGGGAGAGTCTGGAATGACATCATGAACAGATCAGCCAAGATACATCAAAGCATATGAGGCGTTCTGGAGCGCATTGCCCCACCAGGACGAAGTTGAAAGTGTGCAAGGTTCAGGTAGAGAAAACAAAACCTCTGTACCTGGAGCTAGGCCCCTTTGGGCAATACGTCATAGTGACTAAGCAGTCACGCTGTCGCAATCCCGAATCTGTCGCGTTCAACTCCCACTTTTGCGACAAACACTGGCTCTCCGCACAACATAACCCAAGCCATGTCTGTGCTTCTAGAAACATCACTGGGGGATATCACCATCGACTTGTTGGTGGACGATGCACCGAGATGTTGTGAAAAGTAAGTCTATCCAATCCCCACGCGCGCCTCGCGTTCTTTGACCTGCATCCTGCATGCTCTATCCCGCTGTCTTCCCAAGCTGAGCACACACAACAGATACTGACAGCTTGTCGCCTTAGCTTCCTCAAGCTATGCAAAGTAAAGTATTACAACTTTGCGCCCGTGCATAGCGTCCAGCCAAACTTCTCTTTCCAAACCGGCGACCCCATCGGCCCTGGTGCCAAAGACAGCGATGGCGGTCGCTCGATATGGGGCCTGCTCGACCCCTCGCAACCCGCAAAGAAGACGTTTGTTCCAGACTTCAACCCAAAGCTCAAGCACACAGAGATGGGCACAGTTAGTATGGCAACAGCACCAAACCCGGACGACCCCGACGAGCGATTTGCTGGTAGCCAATTCATTGTGACACTGGGGCCAAACATTGACTATCTCAATGGCAAGGCTGCCGTTTTTGGGACAGTCGTCGAGGGATTTGATACGTTGGAAAAGATCAACACAGCATACGTCGACGACCAGGGCCAGCCACTCAAAGACATTCGCATATTGCATACCGTCGTCCTTGATGATCCATACGATGACCCCGCCGGCCTCGTTGAGCCACCCGAAAGCCCCGCACCCTCAGCAGCGCAACTCGCTACAGTTCGTGTCGCCTACGATGAGAATCTCGAAGAGGAAAACGATCCAGAAGCGCTTGAAAAGATCCGTCGAGAACGTGAGGCGCGCGCGCAAGCTCTCACGCTGGAGATGGTTGGCGATCTGCCATTTGCCGAAGTTGCACCGCCTGAAAACGTGCTGTTTGTGTGCAAGTTGAATCCTGTGACGCAAGACGAGGATCTAGAACTCATCTTTTCGCGATTCGGCAAGATTCTCAGTTGCGAGGTCATTAGAGATAAGCGCACAGGTGACAGCCTGCAGTACGCCTTTATCGAATACGCCAATCAGAAAAACTGCGAACAGGCCTATTTCAAGATGGACGGCGTCTTGATCGACGATCACCGCATACATGTCGACTTTTCACAATCAGTCTCAAAAATTGCAGATGATTGGCGAGACGTAACAAACAAGATGAGGAGACGAGCTGCGGGTGGATTTGGCGGTATCGACAATCTCGAGAGGAAGAGGCAGTACCGCGACGGCCCCGGCCGCCAAATCATGTCTGACTCAGTTGTCAATAACTTGGTTGCTGATTCGGATCCATCCAAAGACGCAGCACCGCGGACGCGTGATACCAGCAGAGACGTGCGGAGAGACGATACACGAAGGCGCGAACGAAGAACAGAATACCACGATGATCGTTTCAAGCGCAACCGCAGCCGCAGCCCTAAACGTGACCGTAGAGATGGCGACGATGGCAGATATCACGACCGGAGACGAGAGCGAAGCCGCAGTCCCGACCACCGGCGTGACAGCCGTCGTGACAGGAGCCGCGATCGCTATCGACGGGACGATCGTGACCGCGACCGTCGTCGATAAGAATTTGTTGTTTCACATGCCTTTTTTTTCCCAAACGTTGAATTCAACGCGCATGCTAGTGAGAGAGTCGGGACTGTAATGTAATATCCAATGTTCCAGATTCATATAGTTCAGAATACGAATCCTCAGGTGCCACGGACGCCGATACTACTGTAACTAATTTCCAAGGCTCAAGATGCCAATCTTTCGCTCCAGGTGTGCAGACTTGTGTATCGTTGTACTTTGTTCAAGACTATTGGGTCTGGAACACACTCCATCACTACTTTTTTCATAAACTTTTTGAAAAAGTTCATTTTCTTTCCCCCAATCTTGTGACGCAATCATTTGTGGTATCGTGCTTTACATTAGTTCGTCGGTACGTTTATCATGTGTGCATGCGTCTTGTTGATAACAACACGTTTACCAAGGACAAATGGGATAATCAAAAGTCTTCACATCTAAAACTACCTAACCCATACGTGTTTAATCATGTAATCATTAGAAAAGAGAGAGAAAAGCTCTACTACAAGACGAAAAAAAGGGAGTTCAAAAGCTATCCAGGAGAAAACAACGCCTCATCCAGCCCTCGCGATGCATATATCTCAAACAAAGAAAAGAACGCCCAAATCCATTAACTTTCCCTCGTTTTCCCAACCTAAGAAACTGAAAACCCCAGCGCCGCGCCATGATGCTAATGAATGGGGAAACCCCAGAGAAACGGAGGGAGAGAGAAACGTGTTGACCATGATCCAGCCCTTTCTTTCACAAATTCCTTCAATTGACGTCCATGCCATCATCTTCTGCCTCCTCGATATCATCATCTTCACCACCCGTCAGTACGCCCGTGCTACCGAGACTGCGTTTGCGATTACTCCCATTATACGAACGGCCCGTGATCTGGGACAGGAGATCCAAGTCGTCGCCACCGACAATGCGAGCCTCAGGACTGGCTTCGCAGCTCAGCTCGATAAGGCTTGCAGGGCTGAGGTTGCGGTAGCCGGCGGTGCGGACGACACGACCAAAGTTTTGCATGCAAAAGGTAGCTGCGCGTTGCTTGAGCCACTCTTCGCCGGCGGTAGCGGCGCGCTCCCATATTATGGCTGCGTGTTCAATGTCCAGCTCTCGGCCTAGGCGATTAACACAGAGTAGGCGGAGGCGAGGCATGTCGTAGATGTTGGACATGACGAGCATACCGGCGACATCGTTCAGCGTCGGGCCGTTCTGTGGGTTAGGTGCAATGCTGTCGGTGTAGAGGTAGAACAAGAAAGCGCGGACTGCAGAATAGGGTTCGGGGATATGCATCTTTTTCGAATGGAATTCGGCCATCTGTGCATTCCACAATCGCGCGAAATGTGGCCAGCGTGCGTGCAGAATGAGCTTGTGAACGTGTATTGGGCGTGAAGTAGGTGCGACAGCAGTCGATGAACCGTTGGAATCAGCTGCGGCGATGTCACTGTAGTCATCGTCGTCGGGATCTGCAGTGATTATGAAATCTGCACCGCTGCCGCTCTCAGGTGGCTGATCAAAAGTCAAGGACAGGTCCGCACCAATCCCACTGAGGTGAGACGAGACGTTGGCGTCGGAGGAAGGCATCATCTTGGAGCGTGTGTCAGAAGCCAGTTCATTACCCAGGATGCCATATTTGCGAAGGTCAATGGCAAGTACGTCGCTGAGATATTCGCCGTTGTGGTTTCCATCATTTGCCGATTCAATTGGGCTGCCCAGCAGCCAGGCGTGTGTACCTTCGGGATTCATTGTGCAATAGTGCCAGCGGTAATTTGGGCTGTATAAATCTTTTCCCTCAGCTAGCTTTTGCCATCGCAACGAGTCAAGCTCAAGGCTGGAAAGGCTGGTCTCACAACTCAGCTCAGCAGGTGTGACGAAGTCCAGCATGCAACCAGATGAAAAAAGGTGGAAATGCGTGCCCGCCGCTTGTGAAGGTAGGTTCGGGCTGGAATGGAACTTGAGCGAAGATATAGATCCCGGAGCAATGTACGGAGAGCGACTGGAGCTCATGCCATGGTAGGACTGGACGCTTGAGTTGGCGGTATAACCTGTACTGCCAGTGGCGAGTTGGCCTGAAGCCGGCACGGGATAGCGATGGCGAGATGAGGTAAGTTGTCGATCACCAGTCCCATACTTCATTGCGTGCTCGAATTCAGGGCTCCCTTTGAGATCGAGCCACCAAATCTCATTGTTCTTCTCCATCTCGTCATTGATTCCGCCGAAAATCCAAATGCGACCATTCCAGATCCAGCTGGCATGGTCGTATCGAGGGACGAACCTCCATGTTCGCGACCAAGTCCATGTCTTCAAGTCTAAGTAGCAGATATCATCCAAGACACTGTCGTGCCCAGTCTGGCCGCCGCTGATATACAGCTTATCGTCGTAGATTACTGCAGAGTGTCGAGCGCGACCGCGCGGTATGGGACCGTTCAATTCCGGTTGTGTCCAATGAGCGGTTTTGAGATCGAAGACAATGACGTCGGCAAGATGTTGGCGATGCTCGTTCTCACCGCCAAATACGAGGAGCTTGTTACCCTGCCAAAGACATGCGGTGTGTCCTATATCGAGATGTGAGACAATGTCTAATGCGGAAGCAAAGGAAGAAAAGCCTACCCATTCGCACGCCTGGGATATCGCCATAGTTGTCGACCAGATTCCATTGCCGGGTAACGAGATTGAGGCGTAGGACGTGGTTGTATACTAAGAAAAAAGTTAGCACCGAGCCCCCATACTACTTACGCACCCACAAACGTGCACATATGCAGGTCTTTGGGACCCAGAATTGCCGCTACATGTCCAACGCACCTTCGTCTGTATATTGATCGAAGCCTCCAAAGGCATATATTTGGTCGTCACCAACGTAGGTGACTGAGGCATTGACGAGGCATGCGGGCTTGGCACCAATAGTTGAGATCATCTTTGGTTTGTAGCCGTCTACGGCTGACCTCCGGCTTCTCACGGGGCTTGCAGACATGAGAAAGGTGTTGTTGCTCGATCCGGCGGATCCTGGCGTGGGCGTATGCGAGTGGGAGAGGGCGGGTGAGGGAGCAGAGGTGGTGGCGGGAGTGAGGGTGGTGGGCGGGAAGGCGGATCGAGAGCCTAGGTGAGCCATGGATAGTGAGTGGGGATTATTGGGTGGTGAGTATGTGGTGAAGGCCCGCGTGGGCAAGAGACGCCTTTGTCCCTACGTTGAGTGCTAGAATGTTTGACCAGGTTGGGTTGGCTAGCCGTGCATACTGCCGCCCGACACCGCCTGCACTGGAAACGGAAGCGCCGACCCACCAAAAGACACGACTCAGCCCTGCGACTCACACGGAAGGAACGGCGGCGCAGGCAATCCTTCTCAGCCACAGCACAGGGAGCAGAGGGCAAGAACCACACGGGCAGGGCGGAGGGAGCGTCTGCAGTGCGGCAGGGAGTGGTAATATGTATGTAAGCAGTGCAGACGGGGAGAGGGCAGTGAGGGCAATTTAGGGTCGAGATTGGAGGGGGTGCGTCACAGGCCAGCGGCAAAGCGAGCGAGCGACATCACGACATGCAGACCGCCTTCCTTGATGTGCAGCAGCCAGGGTGTGCATTCACGGTCATTTCCGCACGCCGTGGCACCGCCGGTCATGTGATGTCATCTGGCCTCCGTTGCCTCCGTTGCCCAGTCGAGCCAGCACAGGGTCTCGCTTGCCGTTGCCTCGTCGACGCAAGCGTAAACAAAGGATACTTAAACGCTCCCCATACCTGCCTTCACACATGTCCACTACCACACACGCTCTACCACTCTCCTCTCTCCTGTGTTGCATCTTCAGACTGCATATCAGTCATCTACTTTCGAATCCATACTTCAAAAGCATCGATTACACCATTGTATAATACTAATCCTTACAACCACCTAGCAGTCCCCAAAAGCCCATACTGTAGGACTACCATTCCGGATACGGATGATGAACACTTAGCTAACCCACTAGTCCAGCTCGAGATTAGCAGTTATGGCAACTCCAGCAGTTTGCTTGACTCCAGTCAAGAAGACCTCTTCCGTCTTCAACACCCGCACCGCTGGCGGTCGCATGCCACTGACTCCCTCTCCCCGCACCCCACGAACTCAGACTCCCGATGCCCACACACAAGAGTCTATCCATGGCGGCAACTTCATGGCTCGCCTCCAACGCTCTGTCACCAAGACTACCCGTGACTCTCCCAAATCCAACATTGCTCGCTCACACACTCCCCGCCGGTTAGAGCTCGGTGTATCAGAATGGTCCCTCTCCGGAACCGGCACTGCCGCTGCCACCAAGGCTGCCACTAAGGCGAAGAAGGAGAAGAAGGAAGCTACGACTGTCCGCGCTCGCCCAACCAAGACTCGCATCGCATACAACTCTGCTGATCGTTTCATCCCCAACCGGACGGCTAGCGAGGCCATCCGCAGCACCGGCGCAACCAAGCTTGATAACGAGCAGCGCCCCAAGTCCAGCTCCAAGGTTGAGGGATCAGCAGTACTTGCCAACGCCGCCAGTGCTTTCGATCTCGGTGGACGTGGTTCCGAGGAGGATGTAGCGCTTTCTTTGGAAGGCCTGAGTTTGGAGGACGACGACGACGAGAGCCGATCACGATCAAAGGCCACCCCCGGCAAGGTTGCCTACCAGTCTGAACTCGCATCAGCATGCGGCATCAACAACAACACACGTATTCTTGCCTTCAAGCCTGCGCCTCCAGAATCATCCAAGCCAATCGACCTTCGCTCCCAATACAACCGCCCCCTCAAGCCCGCCAGCACTGTCAACGCCCAGAGCCGCCGCCGTATTCCATCTGCACCCGAGCGCGTCCTCGATGCCCCTGGTCTTGTTGACGACTACTACCTCAACCTCCTCGACTGGTCCTCTGGCAACCAAGTCGCCATCGGCCTCGAGCGCTCCGTCTACGTGTGGTCAGCCGACACTGGTTCAGTAGCCTCCCTTCTCGAGTGCCCCGCCGACACATACATCTCGTCCGTCAAGTGGTCGGGTGATGGCGCATACGTCGGTGTCGGTCTGGGTACGGGTGAGGTTCAGATCTGGGATGTTGAGGAGCAGACCAAGCTCCGCAGCATGTTCGGCCACGAGACCCGCGTTGGTGTCATGGGCTGGAACAAGCACATCCTATCCACTGGTGCTCGCTCTGGTCTTGTCTACAACCACGATGTCCGTGTCGCCCAGCACAAGATTGCTGAGCTCGTCTCCCACACCGGTGAGGTCTGCGGTCTTGAGTGGCGCGCCGACGGTGCCCAGCTCGCCACTGGCGCCAACGACAACATGGTCAACATCTGGGATGCACGTGCTCTTGCTGCTCCCAAGTTCACCAAGACCAACCACCGTGCTGCTGTCAAGGCTGTTTCATGGTGCCCATGGCAATCAAACCTTCTTGCCACTGGCGGTGGTTCCAACGACCGTCAAATCTACTTCTGGAACACCACCACTGGTGCGCGCATCAACCACATCCCCACCGACTCCCAGGTCACCAGCCTTCGCTGGAGCACCCACTACAAGGAGATTGTCAGCACTGGTGGCTTCCCTGACAACAGCTTGAGCATCTGGAGTTACCCCTCTGGTGTCAAGAACATGGAAGTTCCTGCGCACGAGTCTCGTGTTCTCCACAGCTGCCTCAGCCCCGATGGCCAGATGCTCGCCACTGCTGCTGCCGATGAGTCGCTCAAGTTCTGGAAGATCTTCGAGAAGAAGCCCGGTCAGCCTTCGGTTGCTGCTGCTGGCTCTGCTTCCACAAAGCCCAGCGCTGTGAAGCAGATGACCATCCGGTAAATGCAACACGACACTGGAAAGTCAGCTTGTGTACCGTGTCCACAAGCAGGAAATGAGCACTTTGCTCAGCAAAAATTATAGTCTAGCACGGACATTATAACTACCGGTTTGCGCAATGAAGCTGGTAGCATTCATCCGACTATACGCGCAACGGTAAGTTGGTAAGTATCACATCTCGGTTTTGGGTATGTGACGCGCTCCTCTTCTCCTTGAGAGAGAAGGATCTCCACATCTACCCTCGGAAATATTTGTCAATATGGCTGGGATCCCAATTCATGGCTTCTCTTGTCCAATTTCAGCAAGCGAGGCGTCTCGGAAGCATTTACAATACGGCGTTTAAGAATTCAGAACTGGCCTTTCGAGCGTCCAATGGACAACGCAAGTTTGATGATTTACGATACCCATTGGGATTCAAGGAACGAACCCACTCAGTCTTATATCCTTCGAGGGAGTTATGTTTGGTTTGGAATATTGCGCGCATTGCGCTTGGGTTGGTTTTATAATGGAGCACGGGAGTCGTCTACGTCTTGAATACAATGAGAAAACATTCAAATATTTCAAAAGTCGTTTGCGCGTAGTGTGTCCTGTGAGATGGGATGGTTTTCGACCAGCCTGGCAATGTCGTTCCTGCCATCTAACTTGAATTGGTAAGCTAAGCCTCTTTAGGGCAACATGTCGTGCAGCAAAGGGCGGCGCCAAGCAGTGACATACCCGACCGAGGAGCTAAAGAAGACGATTCATATATGATAAATTGGCTTCTCTTGCGGCTCGGAAATGCGACATCATTCTCACTTCACACATAAGTTATTTGAGAAAAAGAAGGTGAAGTGGTAGTATCATCAATTCGTCTATGGGTAATGGAGCTCCATGAATTGAGGTGGGTATCTTTCACACCAAAAAAAAACTGACTAAGAAACATGACATTTTATCGTAGCACCGAAAATGTAACTGATTAAATAGGGCGCTCATTTGGCGCTACGCCCGGGCCTTTGTGGGTCTATTGGCCTGAGCTGAATTTCGCCTGGTCTACGATAACGAGACCTGCGACGGTCGCACTAGACAGAGTGGAGAAGACACCCGTGATAAGAGCGGAGACGGCAACGCGAGAGACGTCGCCGCTGCGACCTGGGCTGATTTGACTGAGCACACCAATCTGAGTACCGAGCGATCCAACGTTACCGAAACCGCAGAGAGCGTAGGTGGCGATGACGCGAGATCGAGGGGACAGAGTGTGGTATGGCGAATCTTTGTCTTTGTTGACCAAATCGGAGAAAGCGACGAATTCGTTGGTGATGACCTTGACACCAATGAGGCGGCCAACAAGGAGCAGGTCGTTGCCCTCGCGAGATACACCGAGGAGGAAAGCGATTGGGTAAAACAGGTAGCCGAGAATCAACTCGAGGGTCAAGTCGTAGTCTCCATCAAGGTTGATGTAGCGGCCCCACCAAGTAAGGAGACCATCAATCAGGTTGAGAAGGGCAATGATACACAAGAGCGTCGAGATGATCATACCGGCAATCTTGAGACCAAGCCAGGCGCCATTAGCAAAGGCATGGAGCGCATTGGCAGGCTTGTGTTCGTCATCATCGGGAACAACGACTCGGCCAGCAGTAAGAGTCTCTTCGGTTTCGGGATATCGCAGCTTGCTGAAAGCCAGGGAAGCGGGAATGCTCATTACGCAGGAAGAAATCAAAGCCTGAGGGTTGAGGCCCATACCGATGTAGGCAACCAAGACACTACCAGCGATAGTAGCAAATCCAGAGCACATGACCTGGTGGATTTCGGCCATGGTAAGGTGGGCGACAAAGGGCCTGATCAACATGGCGGATTCACCCTGACCAATAAAGGGAGATGCGGAAGCGACGACGGCCTCGGCACCAGATACTCTCATGGACCAGAAGAAAAAGACTGCGAACTTGCCAATGAACCACTGGATAATGCCCCAGTAGAACATGAGCTGGACAAGGGCCACGAAGAAGATGATGGCCGGGATAACACTGAAGAAGAAGAACTGGTACTGGGAGATCTCTGGAGTGGTCAAGAAGGAGACGCCGTCTCTGGCGAAACCCAGCAGCTCGCGGGCGAGTTCAGAGATGAAGTTGAAAATGTCGTATCCAGCCGTTGTGCGGAGAACGAAGAGGGCAATGATGAACTGGAGCAGCATACCGACAATGACGGTGTGCCACACAATCTTGTTGCGATGACGCGAAGTAGCCCAGAAAAAGGCGATGAAGACCAAAAGACCAAACAGGGAGACTGCACGGTTGGCACGAGTGTTGTCTTGGCTTTCCTCGCTGGCAAAGGATCCAACAATCATGACGGCAACAACGAGAAGAGCAGCCAAGGGCGTGCGCAGCTTCTCTGGGATGAGGTTGGCGAATCGGGTTCCAGTGTTTGTCCAGACCCAGTGCATGGGCTTGGTGACGACGGTGATTGGAACGTGGCAGGTGATCAAGCGAATCATGATTGCGAGCCAGAACAAGAAGGGAATGATCCAGTTCTTGTCATGGCGATGTTCAACCAGACTTGCAATCCACCATCTATGGGGGCCTGTTAGACGGGGCGATGCGCGAGGACGATTGGAAAGAGAGAAAAGTTGCGCCTTACCCGGTGAAAAATGCGCCGATCAAGATGTGGAAAAGCAGCCTGTACTTCTTGTACAGAGATGATGGGGAATACCACTTCTTCCTCTTTTCACCTTCCATGTCAGGGTCGGAAGAGCTGCGAGTGGCCTTTTCGACTTCGTAGTCGTAGCCACCGTTCTTTCCGAGCTCGTGCTTCTCATCAGCGATAGCCGGATGCGAGTGAGCATGGCTGTCTTGAGCGCTGGCGGAGAGGAATTCGCTCGGCTTCTCGTCGGTGGTGCCAGTTGTGTAGACGACATTGTCTGGGTGGGCAGCACGAGGGCTGTGGTGCACGTGGGGGTGTTGGTGCTCGCGAGCAATGTCTAGTGCCGGGTCATTGTTGCGCGCAACGCCTTCCTGTGGAGAGGCATTGTGCGGTTCGCGGATATCAGCCATGGCAACGAAGCGGCAACAAGAGGGAGGAGGGGGCAGTTCCCAGCAAGAGGTTGAACAATGAAGAACTGTTGGCTCTCTCTCTTCTCTCTCGAGCCGGCCAGGACGGGGAATTATATTTTCGCACCGTGGCTCGCGCTACGGCCAAAGTGGAGGGCGATTCGCACCGTCGCCGGCCCAGACAGTGCAAAGCAGCCATACGGGCGGTCCAAGATGTCACTTGGCAACTGCCTCTTTGGACATGGGCACAGCACAGTATCGCAGGCCTCGATTGGTCTGCCCGCCTGTCTGGGCTTTCCAGAAGGCTATAGTGTGTGGTTGGGGACCGCTTACTCGCTCCTCGCAGTGCTCGCAGTACCGGCCGCCTTTGCACGCCTCTGTAACGCTTACCGGGTTCTTATCTGCTCCCCAGTCTTGACACCGCGCGCATTGACCAATCACGGAGATGAACGTGCTGGACCATGTCCCTAGCCGTGATAAGCGGCGGCGAATATGCGCCCCCTCCTCGGTTGAGCACCTCTTTTCGGCCTCGCATCGACTACTCTCCCCACCCAGCCTCTGGCCTTGCAGCACGAACCACCGTCGTCTTCCCCGAGCGACTCGTCCTTGGCTATACCAAACCAACGGGACTCCGCATGCACCACGCCAAATGGTTTACAAGCACGTGTACACAGGGAACAACAGGAAGAAAGGACATCATCTATGCAACCACAAGACAAGACCCCAGCCGAATATCATCAAAAGCCCTTTTTTTTTTCTCTTCAAGATTTTGTGGCTACTAATACCCGCTTACTTGTGGCAAAACCTCCACCCTGCACCTGTGCTGACCCACGCACCAACTACCTAACATACGGGGCCATGTGACGCAACATTCGCACCCGTAAACCCAATTGCCAACGAAAGGCACCAAAAAAAGAGGACATTCGGATTGGTTTTTGGGCTCCGAAACCTAAGTTATCTATCTCTCTCTCGGCCACACTCGGTGCTTGCAGCAAAAAAAAAAACAGCCGCCCCCGGCGCCATTTCCATCCACTCCCCATCATTATCGTTCGAGCCATCCCGATAGCCAGATCGGCACTAAGGTCTTACATGGTGACCTGCAGCACAACGATTAGGATTCTTATCAACAAGGTTGCGCATTTCGGTATATGCGCCGAATCGAGGCTTGCGGACTTCGCCTGCAAATGCCTTTTGGATCTATACGTAGTGTGTCTGAAGGAGCGGGGGAAGAGATTCCCGTAATGCATGGTGAGACCAGATGATCATCATCATTGGAGAGCTAGAGAGAAAGCGAGAGAGCGAGGAGATCCGCGGCGTGTATGTATGGCACTGGCACTTGCTCTTCTCTCCCGCTTTGAGCCCTACTAATCCTTTTCCCTCTTTTATTTTCCCCGCAGCGGACCCAGAAACTTGCTGCTATGGGTTTAATCCCCTTTTTTTGGGTGTGGGTTTAGTAGTCCGATTTCATCATCACTTAAAAACATTGCGAACCATTCCATCTTCAGGAAAAAGAGATTTATTACATCATAAGACGGGGTTTTTTTTTCAGGAAACATATTTCGCTTCTTGATTTTTCTCCGAGTATCTCGATTTGACGGGGAGACGCGCACTCACGATAACGCGGAGGTCGTCGGCTAAACCCCGCAAAACTTCGGCCGTTGCATCTCAATTCGGCTCGGGCGGCTTTCCGCGGTTTTCGCTGAACTTTTTACAATTTACAGTACATAATAGCCCTGGCCTTGCCTCCTCCTTCCCCCTCAATCCTTTGCAGCCGCAACCTTTTTTTTTTCTGGATGCCTGAATTGAAAGCAATGCAAAAAATCATAGAATTTGCAGTTTATCGTTCACATAGCTTTGCGGATAGAGAGAGCGAATTGCTTTCATTGGTTTTTTTTTTAGCCATCATGCTCGCCAATTGAGCTGACCAACGAGCTCTCACTCAGACCCTTAAATTAGCCATCTAAGTACTTTAGTCTCCCACCAGACTTAGTGTACACACACACCGCGATCTCGTGCTTCCCCCCATCGACTTTAGTCTCCGTGCTTCCCCCCCTTTATTTCCCAAAAAGCTTGGTATTTGAAGGGGGGGGGACGGGATCCACATGATGAGGGTCTCAGCACGGGGTAAAAGTAATGGGGTTAGAGGCGGCTGGGGAAATGTCTTTCACATGTGACTTGAGCGTACATGTGTAGACTCTCGTATTTTGCGATTAAAACTGAGGGCGATAGAACTAGGGGAAGTTTTGTAAGATTGAAAGTTGGTAAAAGTTGTTGATGTCGTGATGGATATCAGGTTAGGCATCCCGCGACTGTTGAGACACATGTTTCTGTTTTTTTTTTTTGCGCGTAGACAACCGAAGGATGAGCTGAGACAGCGGGGACCCCGAGGCTAACTCTATTTGTTTGTTTTTCAAAATCAGGCCCAGGTACGACTGTGAACTCGCTTTTTCCTGTGAGGCCACTCTGGATTCATCGCTCGGGAAATTACTTAAGTAACTGGTTGAACCTTTTGAACGGCTAGCCGCTCAGCAACACACTACATGCGCAAAGGGGGTATACATCTGGCTGGTATTCCTGCACCTCAAGACACAAAAAACACAGTAAGATGGAATAGCATACGACAAGGGGGTATATACAAGCCGAGTCAATCTACAACACCCATACACCGTACACCATGCCCAATGCCGCTGAAAGTATAACACAACATATCCCCCGTCCTTTTCTCCTCCAACTCCTGTAAACGACTGATAAAAAACGAATATCCCCTCTCACTTGCCCGTCATTTCCCCTTCCAAATGCTGCGAACAGGTTAGCAAATATACCATCACTCCAAACAGGGGTATAAACAATACGTACCGACCACTCTGGTATATCACGTATACGCTGCCACATGTACCTCTCGAGTCGATTTGCAGCCTTCGCATACGGCGTGCTCTCATTGTTATACTTGCGACAATTATCAAAGATAAGCTTAGCATCTCTGATGAAGTCCTCTGGGTTGGGATAAAGATCCTTTTCATGCTTCTCCTCCATGGTAGCGAGGTCCATGGGCTCCTTGATGACGTCGTAGTAATCCAGGACTTCATCTTTGTTAACAGGTTGTTGAAAGGGCCAGGCATTGCTGTTGTTCTGCATGTCGTTGAGGAGGTGGAGGAGGGCGTTGTAGTTGGGGCCGTGGCGCGGGGCGCGGGCAAGTTCGTCCATGACGGGGGACCAGCCGGAGTCTTTGATGGCGGGGATGGTGAGGGGGTCGATGGGTTTGAGTTCCCCCTTTGTCCATTGGGCTGGTGGCGAGTGGATCTCATAGCTCTTGCTTACAGCCATTATTTTGGCATTTGCGCACTCTTTTTGCTTGAGAAGCATTCGGCCAGATTCGAGGTAGCGGATCTTGGGAACCATGCTGCATTGCATGATGGTACCGCCCTCATAGTCCTTGATGTAGCCCATCCATCGCGACTTTTCCAATGTGATTTCCTTGGTGAAGCCCTGTTTCTTGAAATATCCAATAGCGTAGTTGTCGGCGTAGGTGAGAAAGTGCATGACTTTAGATGTGGCCTTGACGTAGTCTTTCAGATGCGACATGAGATGGGCGCCGTAACCCTTGACCTGCTGGTCCGATGAGATGGCGCAAAAGACAATTTCGGCGAACTGGCCCTTGTCAAAGGGGCGGTAAGTTATGCCTCTGTGGTACATGATAGTCAGCGTTTGATACTACACGAACGGGAGGCAACGGGTGGCGACGCACCCTACCACTTCAAGCGGGTGTTTCACAATGGCTATACTCAAGTGCGTTCGATCGTAGACGAGACGAGCAATGTAGTCCTTGGGCATCTTGGGCAGCTGCTTCTGGAAGATACACTTTAAGCCCGTCAAGATGATTGTGCTTTCCCTCCGGCCATCGTTGTTGACGACTCTGAACTCAATCTCGCCATTGCGCTCCTCGATAACCGCAGGCTTTTCTGGAAAGGGTACTATCCTTTTGACTGGGGGCGCGGGGGCGTCGTCGGTCTGTTCAGGTGTAGGCGGACTATGCTTTATGCGCTTGGGGGAGGCGTTGGGAGGATCGGTGGTCGCTTTGCGCTTGGCTGGATGGGACGAGGGGTCAGCTTTTTGCAGATTCAAGGGGACATCTGGAGACGAGTCACGTGCAGCATGAGTGGGTATGGGGAGAGGTGAAGACGGGGGAGAGGTGGGATAGCCCAAGAGGTCGCGCAGATGCGGGATGTTGTTGCGGGGAGACGGCATGCTAGGTGCGCGACAGGCGTGCAAGGCCGAGTGCGCGCGGACGAGGGGGACTTGGAGGATGAAGAAGCTGCGCACTTACTATCTTCAGTTGCGCCCGCCATGATGTGGTGTTCAGCGCCTTCTGCGGTGTTGAGCGCCTTCTCGTGTCTGGTCGCGCCTTCCGTTGCCCTGGTGGTTGACTGAACAAACGTCAGGGCAAGTCGCGCCTTCCGCATTGACCGACAGGCCGACAACCAATCACAACACGCGGCGGCCAGAGAACACCGCCGTCCAGAGGCCACGGCAGCAGCTTCACGAGAGACTCCCGAATCAACTTCCAATTGCCAATACTGCACAAATGTCGAGCCCGCTTCTAGACGTCTGGGAGGCTGCTGCTTCCCAGCCCTTTCATCCTACCATCGGAAAGGATACGCAATTCACCGTCGGCTTTGTACTGCTGGCTGCATGTATGTTGCGCTCCGGACCCTTCTGGTGCTCGCATAGAGCTATACTAACAGTATGCGTAGCCCTCGTCCTGACCACCATCTTTGGCTTGAGTATGTCCAACACGTCCACTCTCGTATTCACTCCGCAGTCACTCACACGTATCCTTACAGACCGATCCCTCGTCAACCTGCCAATTCTCGGGGTTCCGGCATCACTGGCATTCGGGTACGTGGCCTCCAGTATCGATACGCCCTCTCCCGTACTGACCGCGAGCAGCTTCGGCGCTGTGTACATGATTTGCGCAGTCGGCGTATACGTCTAGTTTTCGTGTTATATCCATCCGGCGTTGGGAAGGGACCTCTTATGTGTACAATTTATGGAATACCAATAAAAAGTTCAAGACGCTCGAATCTGCATGCGTCATACACTATTCCACCATCGTTTCGACCATAGCTTTACCACCCCCATAACTATTCCCTCAGATACAATCACCCTACAGTAGAATGGATGACCAAGACCAGCCCGTTCTTACGGCCGTGTCGAGTTCAGCGCGTCAGCTGTACCAGCTACTGCGATGTATCGCCTTTTCAAACAAAGCGCACGTCCAGATTAGCGACATAGGCCTCAAACTTGCCGTCGATGAAGCAAGTGTCATGGAAGGTACGCATGCATCTGCCTGTTCATTTGCGCCTTTTCCAAACTAAACACACAATAGCGTCCGCCTTCCTTGACAAATCCCTCTTTACAACCTACACCTTCAACGATTCTGACGATGCATCCGAACCGACGCCCGTCTTCCAAATATCGCTGCCTGCCCTTCTGGAGACACTTCAAATATTCGGCCTCACCGACCCCGCCAATTCCAAACCACCATGGGCCCGCGACGCGCCTTACCCCACCAGCACTGCCTTTACAGGCAACAACATAATGAATGGCATGAACAACATGTGTCGCATTAGTTATCAAGGCGAGGGTTCTCCACTAGCAGTCACATTGACGGAATTGAGTATACGCACGCAATGCGACTTGACAACCTATAAGCCTGAATACGCCGACGAGATTCCGTTTGATCGCGATGCCCTTGTGCTCAAGGTCATCATGCGAGGCAGCTGGCTTTATGACGCGATCCAAGAACTATCATCTACGAGCCCAGAAAAGCTGACCATGTACGCCAAAACCGTGCGCGGAAAGCCCTTCTTCGCACTCTCGTCATCAGGCACACTAGGCTCTGCACGCGTCGAATTCAACAACCAGCTTCAACCCTCTGCATATCGCACCCCAGCATCCACAAACCTCAACGCGACTAGTGATACAGCTGCGGTCCCTCCAACAAACCTTCTTGAGAGATTCCAGCTCAGTGATCCTGACACCGTCTTTCGCTCAAGCTACAAGTTCAGCTTGATACAAAAGGCCGCACGTGCAATGAGCGTCGCTAGCAAAGTCAGCATACGCGCAGACACACAGGGTGTGCTGAGTCTGCAATTCATGATTGAAGTCGAGAGCCCCGCTCCTGGCCCGGGTACTAGTGGTGCAGGATCACTTGCAGCTGGCAAAAACGGGTTTGTAGATTTTCGCTTCGTGCCGCTTGTGGATGATGACGATGACGAGGCGGAGGCGGGACACATTGACGAGACAATCATGCAGAATGCATCTGCGGGCGATGAAACGAGTGACGATGGTACACTGTAATGGACATGGGACATGCACCGCCGAATATAACAAGAATCTAGTCTGGAGTACATGGACATCTTCAATTTTCCAACAGCTGCAGGTTTGTTTGTTTGTCGGATTGAACAGCTAGACGTTCGTGCCCATGGTAAACTTGAAAGAGAAAGCCCCTTGAAAAAGACCCCCAGTGCACGATTGACCTAACATCTCAACTCCCACCCGAAAAAAAAACCATTTGCAGAGTTGTTGAATCGATTACTGAACTGCGATGTCGTCCCGAGACCCTCTCCTTGCTCTTCCTCGGTCTCCCATTTGACACTAAAACCCAATCACTTGAAAACAAGAAACCAGAAAATGTATGCCAACACATGGGACATTCATACTGAACAAAAAGAAAAACTAGGAAACAAAAGGAGAGCCGACGACGCCTGGGTTGTGGGGTGATGGGGGAAGCCAGCTAGCCGGAACTTTGCTCTTCGTATTCTCTCCATCTTCTTCTATGCATCGCTTTTAGCACCAAGTCTCACCCCTCCTCGATCGAAAAAAAAAACCCTGGAAAAGAAAAGGAAATGTCAATTTGAGAAAATGCAATCGATGAAACAGCTGATGAACGTCGGGATTTTGACCATTTCCCAACATTTTGAAATAAATTCTCCTTCTTTTTTTCTTCCTTCTTTCCTTTGAGGATGATGTTTATTTATGTGTATACATTTTTCGCAGAATAGTCGTTAAGAAAAAAAAGAGTTTGATCAGGCGGTGAGGGAAATAAGGGATCCAATCTGAGTATGCTTCTTGCCATTCAGGCTACTGGGCGTTTGTTATTCGAAAACGCTAGAATAACGGTCATTGGGAAAGATAACAAAGAGAGAGAGAGAGTAACGGAAAGTTGATTCATGTCTTGGTAGTGTACAAATGGTAGTTGTCCATGTTGTGTGAGAGGGCTTTTTGCGTCTTGGGTACGGACGTGTGCTGTGCCGTTTGTGTGCGCGCTGGAGGAAGGGGACTTTAGAACTCGAGTTCAGCTACCACGGGTATTAGTGTGGTTTGCTGGTAGTTTTTATCTACCATTCGAATTCACCATTTGCCTTGTGGAAGAGATATCTGCCGTCTGTTAGTATGCTTGCAACGGATAAGTAAACTTCTGTAGGGACTAGACTTACTCCTTCTTGTTCGTGGTGAGGATGCCATCCTTGAGAGTGCACTTCCACTTGTTCTTGACGCGCTGGACTTTGTCATAGGTGCACAGCATGTAGTCCACCATGTCGTCGTCGCTATTGTCGCCGTCATTCAGCTCATCCTCTGAATCGTCGAGGTCAGAATTGATGGCATCGTCGGGATCCTCCTCCAACTTGACGTCGTCGTCACCGTCAAAGCGAGCAGGCGGGGAGACATTGGTTGAAGCTGCAGCATCTTCGGCTTGTAGGACACGAACAGCAGCCTTTCGCTTCTTGCCTTTCGGCATCGAGTCCAGAGGCACCATCAGGCCGCTATCTTGGCGCATCGCCATGGCATCAACACGGGCACGCATAAAGTCGTCGGCTGCCATGCGCTCGACAGCTGAAGCAGCACGCGCAGCCTTGAACGCCTCCCAATCAGCCAGAAAATCATCAGTGCCATCCGTCTGCGATGTGTACATCTGATTTGAATGAGGAGGTCGTTGCTGCTGCATTTGCTGTTGCTGCTGCTGTTGCTGCTGCATTTGCTGTTGGTGTTGCTGCTGTTGTTGAGGGGCCATCATGCGCTGCTGCTGACCTTGCATTGGCATCTGCGGTAAATGGCCTTGTTGAGGCATGTTGGGATAGTTTTGCTGGTGTACATTGCCTTGCTGCTGCACACGTTGCTGAATCAGAGCAGCAGCCCGCTGTTGCGCCAACTGTGAATTTTGGTCATAACCGCCATTGTATCCGTTGGTCGCAGGTTGGGCCTGTGGATAGTTGGGAATAGGTTGCTGGTAGCCGCCCTCCGTGTTGACTGACCCAGTGGACGGTGGAATTTCATTATCGACCTTGACATTAGAGGGCAACGTAGCCGGCTGGCGGACAGGCTCTGGGGCGGGGTCCCATGGCAGATGGGCAATCTTGAGCGCTGACAATCTCTCTTGCCAACCCTATGCATGGTTAGTGGCTGCTGGCAATAAAAGCATGATTGAAGGCAGAATGCTTAGAGGGCCGTCACATGATGAGCTATGACGGTTCGGGAAAGGATGCACGGAGCTTGGCGGGTGGGGGAGCTGTGCAGGGGCTATAAGAAGGCGACCCAAATACTGAGTCGCCCCCGAAAGCTGCCAGACCGACCGGCAACTCAGCCCCGCTTTCAGCCGCCCATCACCCCCAAAGCCAGGCAGCCATCGCGCCATTGTCGCAGCGAGCAGAAGAAACGATGCGACCAAATATCCGATCAAGTTGAACTGGGGGGAAACCATGGCCGCCGTGGCGCGGGCATAGAAGCGCGATGGCTGCCATGCTGCGACCGAGGCAAGGAAAGGCGCGACAGCCAAGATACTGGCCAGGTTGCAACGTACCTGCTTCATCTCTTCCAGAGTGCTTTGGTCGACGCCCGACTCCTCAAAGTCGTTCTGGGACGCCTGGATAACCTTCTCCATGATTTGCTGGTAGACTCCGCCCTGGTGGTCGCTGTTAGCAAGCCTGCCTTTACCCTCGCACCATTCGCTCGCGCGCGCACGCGTGCACCGTCCAGGGAATACTAACCACGACCGAGTTCGACATGGCGGCGGTTGCTTGGTGTTTCTCAGCTATCTAGTATAATCTCTGGGCTCTGTGGACGCTGGACAAGAGGTCGCGAAGGCTTGCAGGAACCAGGCAGACGACGTCAGCGCTTGAGGCTGCAAATGGGTGCCACGCTCGAGGAAGCTTCTGCGCTATTAGGGGTGATCTATGGCTATTGTTTGCCCAGACGGAAGCCTTTATACAACGTGATCGGGTGCCCTCAGCTGTCGTGGTCGTGGGGTGTATGAGTGATAGTGAACGGTGCCCCGGCAATCGCTGAGGGCGCGATTCCTTAGCGCCCCGAGCTACTCTAGCGCCGCACGTGACCTTGCCTTCAGCTGCTCTTACCCAAATCTACGTACTCTACTCATTGCAATTGCGAAACCAACGCCAGGCAATTGCTATGGCTGGACCCAAACACAATCGGGCACCCATAGACATGCACGCATTCACACAAGCACATAGACACTCGTATTGCTATCTATCACCATGCTGTCAAGTTTTCTTCCAAGCCCGCCCCCAATGATGCCACCGAAGAAGTAAATCCAGGCCTATTTGTTTCGTGTGCTAGCCCCTGTCCTGTAAGTAGTACTGATCATCAACTCTCTTTGATCAAAGCCTCCCGTACCGCCTGGTCAACGTCTTTGCGCCTGAATCCTGGCGTACGCCCAAGGCAAACTGCATGTTGGACTATCTCTGTCGCAATCGTCAGCCAAATAATTTACCCACGTTGATGGATTGCATCACAAACTCCAAAAGAAAAAAGAAATCGTGTAAACTTACCGAAAATCAGCCGCGAGACGTCAATCCACGCGCATCTCTTCCTCTGCTTCACCACTTGCAGGCCCTCCAAATCATCGCCCATGGCGCGTAGCCCTGGCCCAGTACCAAAACTTGTGCTATTCGCGAAGCCGTAGTCGAATCCAGGCGCGAGATCCAGTCCTAGCGTCTGATCAAAGGGAATGTCGTGGTTGACAAGCTGGGTGAAATCACCCGCATACTTGGGCGCAGAGGTGCCACCAAAGGACGTATCCATGCCGAACCCATTGTTCGCGGTAGCTCCTACGTTCGTTTGTGCCTGTTGTGGCATGTTGGCGTACGAGTTTGTTGGACCTTCGTCTTCGATATCGATCAGGCACTCCGCAAACGAACTTGAGGGGTTGAACTTGCACGCATAGTGCTCCTCCAGATATCCCTGCACGTCATGGGCATCAAACCATTCGCCTTCGAAACCAGCAAGGTCCACCGCACGTAGGTACTGAGCTGCCCTGCCTTCTACATTCCCCCACCCTTCCAATCTCTTCTCTCTCGGCCCGATCCACTCTGGTGCCCAGGAATCCTTTCTTGGTACAATGTTGCCTGCTGCATCTCGTCGCGGATAGTGGGTCCCTGCACCTCCAAGGGGGGCGAAAGGCGCCTCAAACCAGTCCAGATCCTCAACAACCGTCTTTGACATGACTTCTTGGAAACGTTGCTTTATTTGGTCGACATTATAGTGTGGAAAGTTAAGTCTAAAGATATAGTTGATAATCTGAATTTTATAGTCAGATCAATCGAGAAAAACGTGATGATAGATGGCTGCCGCAAGAGCCTCCAGTAACTCAGCTAGCTGGCATATGATTCGCATACGTACCGAGGGTGAATAATTGAGATGGGTAAGCACGGCGAATCCTGTCTCTACTGCTGCTCTGGCCAACCTCCTGCCCACAGTCGATTCGTTATGATTATATGTCCACACGGGACTCAGGGTCTTCATTGACAGATCTGAGATCGACAGAGAGGGTGTCGGTAAGTTGGTCGTTGCAGGAGCCATACCAGACGCTGGCATGTCGGCGGGGTAGGTGTGGAAGTTTGATGTTTCGTACGGTGTCTGTTGTTGGTCATGGACAGGAACCAGGCCAAACGGCAATTCCTGTTGTGGTACCATGCCAGCGGGTAGTGATTCGGACACAGACTGTGAGATGTGATGGGTCTGTCCCGATTGCTCCCCAAGAACATATTGACTGTGACTGATGATGCTGGGAGCCGATTGGTCGACTATAGTACTGAAGTGTGAAGAGTAACTGTCTGGCACTGGAAGGTTTTGTGGCGCCTGATCCTGAGCAACACCGTCAGCCAGGCTACGAATATTCCAAGAGGATGTAGAATCATAGCTAGCCGTGAGTTTTTCGTCATGAGCTTTACATACCTTGTTGGGCTGCTGCGAGACAGCAAAATACCCCCAGCCAATATGCTCAGGTTCAAGTTCAGGCTCAGGCGGTTTGCGCGGGCCTGTCCCTTCAGCTCCTTGCTCGA